TGGACTGGCACTGTGGACTGGCACTGCGCTGGTACCGCCCCGCGCGGGGCGTGAGAAATTTAGCCCGAGGCAGCCCACGGTCACAGCTGCCAATAACGCTAGTCTGTGTGCTAGCATGCACACAGATTGGCATATATAAGGCGCCTTGAAATGCGACGGGGACGATTATTGGCAGCGTGCCAGGTAAGTTTATCATGCTGTATCACGCTATGGGCGCACGACTTCTTTTTCCAGCGTCCTCCGTATTAGCATACGAGGCCGAAGCGGCCACCGCCTGCGAGAAGCCGTTCTACGTCGCCAACGACAGCTGTCTCTGGCGATCGGCGGCCCCGCTGCCGTTCCCGGAGGCGCTGGCCGCCTGCGGCCGCCTCCGCCCGCCGGCCGCGCTTGCCGCGCCGCACTCGCCCGAGGAGGCAGTCCAGCTGCTGACGCTGCGCCGCCAGAAGGGCCTGGCCGAGTGGTTTGGCCTGACGAGCCACGATGACATGCTCCTCAGCCTGCGCAAGCCGCCGCGGCCGGTGCCGGTGTCGGCAGAGAACGATGCGGAGTTGGCGCACGGCTGCGTAGCCGGCCACCGCAGCGAGCCGCGGAAGCTGGAGGTGCGCGCCTGCTCGGAGCCGCTGCCGTTCGTCTGCAGCCGGCCTCAGGGCTGCCCGACCGGCACCGCCGTCTGCCCGGCCGGCTGGCTGCCGCTGCTCACGGGCTGCTACCGCCGCGGCCGACGCGCCGTCCGCTACACGGAGACACTGGCGGTGTGTCAGGAGGAAGGCCAGCAGAGCAGCTGTCTCGCCCACGTCCCGACCAGAGACCTCGGTATGGCGCTGTACGCGGCGCTCGACTGCGAGGAAATGTGGACGGCGCACAACGACTCGTCAACGGAGGGAGACTGGTCGGCCGACGGGGCGTTCAACGTGACGGCCGTGTTCGTGGACGGCGAACCGGACGGCGGTACGGCAGAGAACTGTGCCGCCCTGACGAGCGGCGGCCTTTACGATTTGTCGTGCGAAGAAGACCTCCCGCCACTCTGCCACCTGCCCCAGTCAACCGCCTGCGTCGCTGTGGCGCCCTAGCGGAGATGTGCTGAAATGCGAGCTGGTGCTGCGCCGTAGCATAGTCTGTCACGCGTGACTGGCGAGATCCGTCGACGCGTCGAGCAGTTCCTGTTCCTGAGAGTGACACCTGAATGGCATTGCACCCAACATGGGATGCAGTGGATACGGAATGTTCCACAAATGGAGTTGAACACAATAATACGTTGCGGGGCCTGTGTTTCGCACGAACTGCTTGAAGTCGTTCATAGAAAATGCCAGCATTTTCACCGCGTGCAAGCTTTTTCCTAGGTGGCGGAGTTGGACTTCTGACCAAGTTCTGAGAGTCAGCGCGGGCCGGATCAGGAGCGCAGCGTTGGCCTCCGCCGCGTCTGTGGCGTCAGCGGCGGACGTGGGTCCTTGCGCCTGCGACCGCCGCCGCCAGGGTGCGATGGAGGTCCGGAGGCAGACGGCGCAAGTAGTCTACATCAGCCCGGCGCGCCTCCCACGCCCGCTGGCTGTATTCCGCGCCCGTGCCGGGCGGCCAGGCCGGCAGCTCAGCCAGACAGGCCACGAATCGAGCCGTTTGCACTGTGGTCTCTCTTGGGCATGTGTTTTCCGATACACTTCACCAACAAGCAAGGGGTGGAGACGGAGGGCGGAGCTTCGCACGCTGGGATGCGAGCTTTCTTTGCCCGCGTTTGGATTCCTGTTTCAGCTCTGTGTTCAACGGTGTAAGATATGTGTGTGGCGCAATTGAGGAAATGATATACCTGATCTTTGTCATCGTGTATATGATACGAAAGCACAGTGGGTATGTATCTCTTTGTCTTTGGAAACCTATACGGATAGGAATGATCGAGCTTACCAACTACAACAGATCCTCCTTTTATTGTTATACACGCATTGAGAAAGCGAAAGAGGTGTGCAGACAAATGAAAACGCAGCCCTACAGGTGAAGCCAAATCCGAGAACGTCTCCTTAAATTTTCAAAATATATTGCATCAAGCAATAGCCAAACAGAATTGGTTCAGGGCTATGCACTACTTTGGCTACGTGAGAACTCGCAAAACTGATCTACTTAATTTGAAGCGCATGGACGTCGAAATAAGATACTGCATTCGGTGCGCCGGAAATACGAATTCATCCAACAAACGCACGAGCCGTTTCGTGGGGTGGTACTCTGATGCGTCTCCTCGAGTGTTGTTTGGCGAATGATGCGGGCGTCTGTGTAGGGTTTGACAATAAATTGTCGCTAAAAGACTATGCACTTGAAGCGCTGAAATATAGAAAGGAAATCAATCGCTATGCTTGAGTCATGCATCATGTTTCATTTTATCATCACCTTCATACTAATAAGCTTATCAATTAGAGGTGGTTCCTGGGTAAAAAGTGGATGGGAAGAAAGTGGAATGGAAAAATCGAACGAAAAATTGGAGCGATTTAAAGTCGAAAGTGATAGAAGTCGATAGGGATAATATTCGAATAGAAAAAAGGTCGAATGACAAAAAGTCGGAAGACATCACTCGACCAGAACAAAACCTGAATCGGAAAAGTTGAGTGACGAAAAATGGTAAGGACTGACAAGGATAAAAGTCGAATTCGAAGAAGGTCAAAGGACACAAATACAAAAGGGCTCAAAGTCGAAGAGGAGAAAATTTGCACGGCAAAAACTTGCCAGTGGATGGGACAAGAAACAGAATAAGTCGAAAGACAACATCGACAGGGTAAAGCTCGCCTCAGATGCATGAGAACACTAGCAAGCATAATTATCTAAAAAAAAGAGACGCCACCAGGATTTGGTGCCAGATATAAGAGGCGGATAAAGATGTGGCCTCGGGAGCGACAGATGGGACTGAATGGGACCGGATGGGACGAGATGGCAGCGGGCGAGACAGCACGGGACCAGATGACACCAGACGGAACCGGGCAAGAGAAGACGAAATGGGACCGGATCGGATGGAACCAGACGAGACCAGATGGAATCAGATGGGACGGGACCAGATGGGATCAGATGGGACGGGACCAGATGGGATCAGATGGGACGGGACCGGACAAACCCGGGCGGTACCAGACGGGACCACGCGTGACCGGACATGATCAGAGATCATCGGACGTCACCGGACGTGGCCGAAAGAAACCGGACGAAACAAAACGGGACGAACGGAGCCACACAAGATTGGACGGAGCAAGAGAAGATCAGACGGGGCTGGATGTATATGGTATGGGGGCATATGCTATGGCATGGTATATGGTGCTTGATGTCAGCGAATTAGTTTTGGTTATTCGGCCGGAGGCGAAGTTCCACAAAATGAGTTGGGGGAGTGAGGGGGTGGAGCAGGGGATATGACGCGACCTACCCTCAAAATGCCGATAAAAAGATTATTCCCGGATTCGACCCACTTTTTCCCAAACTTGGGGAAGGAGCCCATTACTCGCCAAACTGAATAAGAAACTACACCCTGTCTTTAGCAGTATGAGCTCAGAGCTCCTATGGTGAATTGCCGATATTTAGTTCCACAGCAAGTATGTTTAAGGCGCGCCCGGGTGGGGGTCGTTTTGACCCTCACGAAGCTTTTGCCAGAACGATTTGCCCAACGGCGTTGCTTAATCGCGCAAAACTTTGTATAGCTGTAGACAGTTGCGCGGCGGATCCTTTGGTATAAGATAGGATACATCTTTTGAGGTCATTGACCTATGGTAGGTCAAAGTGAGACCGTGGCTGTAAGCGAAGGCATTTTTTTGGAAATCATTAAATCTCATGCAAAAACGGAACGTTAGACGAAGCTTGACATCTCTGAAACAGTTTCTCAGCCAATAAACAAGTTGAATTTATAAGTTCAATACATTCTGACGCCCTAGGGTCAGGTATGAGCGTCAGACCGAGGTCAAAACTAACTGCTTTTTTACTGGAGAATTAAAGAACAGTTTGTTTTACTAGATTTAGTGGTTTTCTACCTTATGGCCTAGTTTCTGA